ATAAAAACTAAATTTTAATATCAAGTCAAAATGTAGCTTTGCCATATACTTAGAAGGATAATAAAACAAAACAAAGACTGTGCTGTTACAAAACATTTTCTATTTCTACCTAACACGTAAGATCGAATTTTTCAGTGCCTACATCAACAAAAGAAAAAATAAAACTAACGATGATTATTATCTCATTTAATCAATAGTTATTTCACCTATGTATACACAGACTAATCGAAAAATATCTATTCATCGATCTCATTAAGAGATGAATTTCTAGTAAATGATTAGTTTATATTTAATAATTACCTATTAAAACATAATTTCTTGTTTTCTTAAAACAACTACTCAGTAATTTTTTATTTGTTTTTCTTACATATACATGACAGTACAGAGTATCTTGACATTTTATAAATACATGGAGTATAACTTATTTGAATCAGGATCCCATTCTTGAGATTGTACATGATGTGGAGTTACACAGGTTGTCTATTCATATATGCACATCAGACACTTATGTCTGATTCATTCTACTATCTTTCCTATTTCTATTTCCCCTCCCTTCCTTTCATTACCCTTTGTCTAATTCAATGGCTTCTATTCTCCCCCACTCACACTTTTTTGGTGTTAGCATCTGCTTATTAGAAAAAACATTTGGCCTTTGGTTTTTTGGGATTTATTTCACTCGGCATGATTTTCTCCAGCTCCACCCATTTACTGGTCAATGCCACAATTTCATTCTTCTTTATGGCTGAGTAATATTCTTTGTGCAGATATGCCACACTTTCCTTATTCATTCATCTGTTGAAGGGCACCAAGGTTGGTTTCATAGCTTAGCTATTGTGAATTGATCTGCTATAAAAATTGATACAGCTGGGTCAGTAGTATGCTGAATGTGGTCCTTTGGGTTTATACTAAGGAGTAGGATAACTGGGTCAAATGGTAGTTCCATTCCAAGTTTTCTGAGAAATCTTATTCTGCTTTTCAGAGTGATTACACCAATTTGCAATCCCACAAGCAATGTATTAGTGTGCCTTTTCCCCACATCCTCCTCAACATTTATTGTTACTTGTATTCTTGATAACTGCCATTCTTACTGTTGTGAGAAGAAATCTCTGTGTAGTTTTAATTCACATTGGAGGATCTATTCAGTACTGTGAGAGGTGTGTCAAAGTCACGCAGTATTATCGTGTCATTGTTTACTTGATTCTTGAAATTGAGAAGGGTTTGTTTGATGTATGTAGAAGCTATATTGTTTGGGTCATAAATACTGAAGGCTATTATGTCTTGTTGATATAATATAATATAATAATATAATATAATATAATATAATATATGATTACCCTAAGCAGTATGAAATGTCCTTTTTTGTCTCTTTGATTAACTTTGGCTTGGAGTCCACTTTATCTGATATGAGGATACAAACCCCTGCTTGCTTACCAGATCCACATGGATTATGTTTTTCCCCATCCTTTTCCTTTAGTCAGTGGATGTCTCTGCCTATGAGGTGTATCTCTTGGAAGCATATTGTTGGGCCTAGTTTGTTCATCTAATCTGCTGGTCTATGTCTTTTGATTGATGAGTTTAGGCCAGTAATGTTCAAAGTTATTATTGATATAGGATTTGTGTTCCCAGGCATTTTGGTTTATTTCTAGTTTTTGATTTGAATTAGTTTCTGCTTTGATTGACTATTCTTCTAGTGTAGTCTTTACTTTTGCTGTGTTCATTTCTTTGATTTTTCGTTTCTTCTTCATGGAGTATTTTATTGAGTATGTTTTGTAGTGTAGTTTTTCCAGGTGTGAATACTTTTAACTTTTCTTTATCATGGAAAGTTTTTATTTCTTTGTCAATTCTGAAGCTTATTTCCCACAGTAAAAACAGTAAGTTTGCAAGGGGTTTTACAGTTTTGAATGATGGAGAGGGAGAGGGCAGAAGTGATGTAGCATGTGATGATTGTGAGGGAGGAGGAAAGACAATAGAAGTAAAAAAAAAACATTAAAGGAAGAGGGAAAGAGAGAACAGTAGAGATAGGTTGTTAGCAGATGAAAGAAAAAAATCAAGTGAAACAGGTAAGTGAGAGAAATAAATACATATAATGTAGAAATTTTAAAAATTAAAAATAAAAATAAAAGAATACGTAACAAATCTGAAATATACTAATGAAACATTCTAGTCCTTAAAATACTGATCGATGAAAAATTACTGGCTTCCAAAATGCTAGAAACAAGAAACAAATTTGAATATATATAAATGTCCATGAACTGTTAAGGTCACAATTAAACAGAGAAAAAGAATGAATGAAAGACTCAATGAAAAGCTCAAGAATCGTTTCTGTTGGAGTTCAAAAGGTTCTCAGCTTCCCTTCTCAGCTTTAGGTGGGGTGATCTGCAGTGTGATGCTTGCTCAGGGTGGGGTTGCTGGAGTGGGAGAGGAGATCCTGTAGGTGGGACTCTTGCAGGTAGGCTTAGGTGGGCTCCAGGTTCTTCTATGAATGCCAGTTGGTCTGGAGATTTAAATCCGCACACCTCCACAGCCCAGCAATTGCTGGTCCAAGCTGGAGGACTGCACCCAGGGATCTCCACTGGGTTCTACTTGTGCAATGGCGGAGCGAATTTTTAGCCCACCATGTCACTTGCAGACCCCATGTTTTTCTGGTCTCAGGTTCAGTCTACAATATCAATGTCATCCACCATTGTCCTTCTGAATTTTTTGCCAGGCTCATCTCCCCCAGTGGGTCCTGCAAGCAACTGGATTTGGGGGGTGGGCAGAGCTGGAGAGCAGGGTTTCCATGACCAGTTGTCCCTGTTTAAACTTCTGCCCTCGTCTGATTTTCTCCTTGTCACTTAGGCACACTCGCTGTGGTACTTGGGTTTGCCAGGAATCACCTCCTCCAGCTGATGGCCCTGGCACGTTGGCTGCAAAAGGGTTCCTTCTTCCTTTGTTCTCTGCACACAACCGAGAGAGACGGGGCTTCTCTTCTGCATAAGTATATTGCGTAGCACACCTTCCAGCTTAATTGGGCTTTGTTTTGGGCCTCTAAACTCTCAGTACCCAGACACTCCTGAGGCCTCCTGCAAATGCGAATTCCTTTAATTTCCTTATCCGTCCACTTTACTCTCAGAGGGGCACCTCTGGCTGTTGCCTCCAGCAGCGGTCGTGGGCGTTGCTGGGGATTTCTTCCTTATTTTATTATATCCAACCTCCTAAGTCTGCAATCTGCTTTGAATATCCAGTGATAAATCCCAGTACATTTGCCCCCCACTTTTTTTTTCACCCAGTTTGCTGAAAAGCTTCTTTCTTGGTTTCATACCACGAAACAGCCAGGGAAGAGGCCATCTCTATTCCACCATCTTGAAGCCTCCCTCATAATAATTATTAAGATGATTCACTACAAAAAACTTGACATTTGGAGCCTTACAGCCTCAACCATACATATGTTAAATATGGTTGCATATTATAGAGAAAAACAAATTTTAAGCATAAATGCATGTTATAATGTGATAATCTGGAAGAAATAAAGTATAAATATGTTTTCAAGAACTCAAATTAACAGACATTAACTTTGAATACATAGCAACAAACACAAATTTGTAAGGTTGGAGTATCACTGATAGCAGTAAAGTCGGATATAATTATTTCATTTAAAGTGCCATTATTTCAAATTCCTTAGAAATTTTTATTTTAAAAACTAAAAAGAAAAAAAAATCACTATTCTAAGACAAACTTTAAGGGATGGTGAAGTGGGCCTCTATCCCAGCAGCTCATGATGTTGGGGCAGAAGGATCATGAGTTCAAAGCTAGCCTTAGCCATTTAATGAGACCCTGTCTCAAAATAAAAAATAAAAAGGCTGGGATGTGGCTCAGTGGTTAAGTTCCCTGTGTTCAATCCCCAGGACCAAAAAAAAAAAAAAAAAAAAGACAAAAAAGTAGGCAAACAGACTTTAAGAATGTAAATGTTAGGCTGACTCTTGACTCAGTGCTGCACTCCTGTAATCCAGCTACTCAGGAGAATGATGTTGGAGGATAGCAAGTTCAAGGTCAGCCTTGGCAGCTTAGCAAGATCCTGTCTAATAAAAATAAATAAAATGGGCTGGGGATTAGTTTAGTGATGGAGCACCCCTGGGTTAAATAATCACTACCAAAATAATAAAAAAGAATTTTTTGAAGGATAGATCTGCATGAGAGTCAAAGAGCACACAGACCCCTGAGATAATTCACTTATTGTCCTTATTTTGACCTAAAAAATTTAACCAAGCTTTGATTTATCAAAGCTGGCTTTCCTGCTATTATTTAAGGTTATAGAAAAGAATTAGATAAAATTTACTTTAAAAATTTTCAGCTGAAATATTCTGAGCCATGATCTAATGCATGGAGTGCCTCTCTGTGGTGTCTCTGAGTGTGTGAAGACGTCTTTATGGGTTCATCGTTAACTGAAATCACTTAGAACCCCAACCTGGCTGTTGGATATCCTGGCATTAGAGTGCCATTCCTTCTCACATCCCTCACCTTTTACTATCAGAACCTGGTAAACAAATAAAACTTGGTCTTTTATCCTGAATTAATTGATATTCAATAGTTATCCCAAAGGTCAAATTAAAAACGTATGCATCACAACAAAGACAATGAGAAGAGTCTTAGAAAAGCACTGGCCAGGGTCAATTCGATTACAATTTCAAAAATCAACCTCACCTTCAATGTGAGAAGAGATTTGGGGGCAAGGATGATACAGACACTGTCAAATTTGTCTTGGTCATCCAGAGAGAAGTAGGTGGTTTCCTACGCTCATTGGGGGAGGAGAAATAGGGAGAGTTGAGAAATACACAGGATGAAAAAATGGCAAAACCTGGTGATTAGTTAAATGTTGTGGATGTGTTGGGGTGCAGGGGACATAACCAAGAAGGAGAAGTTAACAGATTCCTGAAGTTGTCAACCAGGTGGCCGTTCATTAGGAGACAAACAAGCAAGAAGTAAAACATAGGGGGAAAAGCTATGAATTTATCAAGTTTGAGATGGAAATGTTTGGTAGCACCTTTGATTTACGACCATAAAGAGAAGCTTGAACAGTGACAGATAGATGGTGGCTGAAGCCAAAGGAGGAGAGGGGGTGACACTGGGTGGGTTATCCAATAAAGCACATAGGGCTTAGCGGAATGACACTAGGCAGGACAGAAGGAAAAGGAGGACTTGCACAGAAATCTAGGAGGAAGGGAGAAGGATTAGCTTTTTTTTTTTGAACCTGAGTCTGAGACAGGATATTTTCAAAACCATGTGTACTTCTGTCAAGGACTCAAGTAAGAGAGGGTGGAGATGTGGGTGTAGGAAGGCCAGGGGAAGGCTGAAGCCAGTGGAGAACCGAGGGAGAGGGAAAGGTGGGGAGAAGGTGGTCCACTGCGCTCCAAGGGCATTGGCAGACAGAAGGAAGAGGGGAGCCAAAGCGCCAAGCCTGGAAGTAAGGAGGATTCTCTCCCCTGGACCCCCCTCAGTCGCTTGTCCCCAACCTAAGTGAGAAGTATTGAGGAGTTAAATAGGAAACCTTAGGAAAGATGTCAAATCCTGAGGGCAAGTGGAATAATGAGCCTTCAATTCTAGGAGTTATTTAAATTCCTTAACAAGAGAAAAGAAGGAAAGACTCCTGTAGATGCATGCAGGAGTAGATTTTATCGTGGTAGATTTTATCGTAAGTATTTGGAAATCTTGGCAATGCATGGCTTCTTCTGCATGAAGGGAAGCTGCAGGATCCTTTACCAGAGCAATGGGAGAGATGGCGAGTTTGGTGTTCAGGCGAGATTGAAAGGTGCTGTATTGTTCATGATATTGACATCAACATTCCACACGTTATTTCACAAAGAACAGAATTTTGCAATCTGCCTTACTTATGTAATCCTTGCAGACCATCCTGACAGATAAAATGACAGGCAAAATGAAAATAAATGGATGGGTTGGATTATATTTTTGTGCCATTCTGTTATGAATTTTTCTCTTCCTACCATATTTGGATAAGTAGAAAAATTTTTATTGATATGATATACAATATTTTCATTTTTTAGACATCATCTTGAGATTATTTTTTCAACCCATGATTGTCTTGATTCACAATACACATTGACATATAATGTTGATAATTTTCCAAAAACAAATCATGGCAGATATTTCTGAAGTCACAGACGTGGCACATTGCCTGGTTTAACTTTCTGTAAACACTGCAGCGTGAAAAGTGGGTTTTTAAAGAGTAATTTTGGAAATATACTTCAGTGCAACCTTGGAGAAGAAAGACCTTACAAGAGAATATACTAAATAAATATTAAATAAAAGGACATGAACTTGGAAAATGCTTTCTGATGCTGACTCACTCACTTTAACTGGTACCTGCTATTTCTGTCACTTGCAATTTAACTAATGTGACATGTCATTTGTGGATGACATTCATAATGTTTCTAAATTAATCGTCTCTAGCATCCACAAGCCCACTGCTTTCAAATTTCAGTTTCTAAATAGATTGTTACAACTCCATTAATCTAAACCTAAAGTCAAAGAGGTAAGTGGCAAAATTAAAGTGAGTTCCAGCTGAAACTCAAAACTGCAAAATAATCAATTTTACTCAGTTTTTCAAGTAGAAAGTAGCTGTTTCATTAATTTATCAGTTTTCTCTGCTATATATTACTTTAGTAGCTTCAGATGCACACTGTGTCATTTCTTATATTTAGTTATTTTGCTCTTCTGTGCTTGAAAGGAGCACTGAGATGGACAGGGTGGCTGAGCAGGAGATGAGGGGGGAGGGATGGTACAACCAAGTGGATAAAATAACTTTAAAGTGCGTCTTTTGCTGATTGGGAACTTGCTAACGGGATCTGGGCAGAGAGAAATTACAGGATCTGAATTACTTTCTAGAGCTTTCTTTGGCTGCTGTTTTGAGAAAGAGAGCATGGGGCCACACGTAGAAACAGAAGGTTGGAGGCTACTCCTATGCTAAGTGAGGGATCCTGGCAACTTTTAATCAGAATAGCAGTGGTGGATTTGGAGAGAGGTAACTGGATTTATAATTGTTGTAAAGGCTCAGCAGATGAACCAAATTGATTTGCTTTTAATTTGGATGGCACATGAGAGGATTGAATTAATGTATCCACTATTGTTGACCTGGTCCACGGGGAAGATGGGATTGATATCTGCTGAGTTGGTGAAGACTGATGGACCAACAGGTTTGAGGGAGAAGTTCTGACTATGGCTTTCCAAGGTGTTGAGTTTGAGATGTCTACAAAGATGAGAAATTGGAACCTGGAAATATATCTCAAGTTCAGTAGGAAAAACAGGCTTCAAGTAGACATTTGGAGACGGTCAGCATTTTGATTAGTGCACAATGCCACCAGTATATGTGAGCTGACCTAAGGAGCAAATGTGTGACGTTCACAGGGGCAAGGATGAACCTTGGGACACTCCAAAATTCTATTCTGTATTCCAGCCCGTCCGGGAAATTTGTCTAAAGATACATTGTGAAATTTCTTAGGGGACGATCTTTTATTATCTTTAAAACTTTTATTTGCTCTGTCATAAACTTCTGAAATTTATGAATGCAATGTACTAACTGGGCACAGTGACACATGCCTGTAATCCCAGCAACTCAGGAGGATGTGAAGAAGGAGGATCACAAGTTCAAGCCCAGTCTCAGTAATTTACCAAGACCCTAAGCAACTTAGCAAGGCCCTGTCTGAAAATAAGTAAATAAGTAAATAAGCAAATAAATAAGTAAATTAAATAAAAAAGGCCAATAGACAATGCAAGTATGGCTCAGTAGTTAAGTTCCTCTGAGTTCAATCCCAAGTACCAAAAAAAAAAAGTAAAGAAATTAATGCAGTATACTCTTGCCTTTTCCTGAAGATACTAGTTACTTTTTAAATCAGTGTATTATTTTATTCTGTAGTTTGTGTCTTCTTGTTAGTGTCTCCCCTAACACCTGGCATTCTGTTTCTTAATCTTGGTGTTAGCCATTTTTTCCCCTTTCTTCTTGCTCCTGGGGTCTTTGAATGTTCAGAGAGCTTTGATTTTGACATTGACATTGATGAGTGAAAATAAAAATTTTCAAGTGTCTGGTGTGGATTTCCTTTGCTGTTGTTTAGGGAAATTTACATTCTGACTCCTTTAGACAATGAGAAGATTTATTGATTGACATAGTTTCTTGTGGATTAAAAGCTAAGCCTTCTGAAAGTAAGCCAGGGCCATCAAGTGTCCAGAGGAAGCTGAATTTTCTTTTGGTGAACCCAACTCAAAAAAAAAAAAAAAAAAAACAGTTTAACTCTTGCAGCTCACCATTTCCTCTGTCAAAGTGACTTTACTTTACCTTGGATTAATGTCGCACCACTTAACTCACATGGTAGTGGGTTGAACACGCAGAGACCAATGGTCATGAATTCTGCAGTATCTCTTGCTCTGACTCTCAACTCTCCTGAGCTGTCTTCATGGCGCCAACTGAACCATTTCGGCAGTATTTGGGAAATCAGCTCCTGTCCCTAGTGTACTCCATTGCCTTCGGATTGGGACTCTGGCCTCTTCGACTATGCTTCCTCTACTATCTATCAGCTTATTGCTTTTCAGAAAATTATTTTACTAGATTTTATCTTTATAACTACAAATGCAGTGTTGAATTCAGATGCAGGTAACGAATTCAATAAAAAGCCTCTTAAAGTTTTCTCCCTCTAGTTAGTAACTTTGTAGATTACAAAGATGCTTATGCTTCTTTAAAATATGGTTCATGCCAGGCATGTTGGTGCATGCCTATAACCCCAGAGGATCTCGAGTTGTTCAAAGCCAGCCTCAGCCAAAGCGAGGCACTAAGCAACTCAGTGAGACCCTGTCTCTAAGTGAAATACAAAATCGGATTGGGGATGTGGCTCAGTGATTGAATGACCCTGAGTTCAATCCCCAATAATAAAAAAGAAAATATATGGTTCATTTTTCTGTAGAGTAGGGAAAATAATAGCAGTGCCTAACACTTGGGTCACTACCAGCATGAACTAGGACAATGTTTCAAGTTCAGTTCCTGGAGACTAGAACATACTGGTAATATTACCAGCATTAACAATGTCATGAATAATCCTGTTTTTAAATTTTTGAATAGGCTGTATTATATTGTCTTGTGTATTCTAATTTATCATGAGATTATATACAAGTTATATATAATTCATGAGGAAACATTTACCTAGATGATATAAGGTAGAAATACATTAATAAAATAGAACAGCATGTATGAATAGCTACATATTTTATATATTTATCAAATTTCATATTTCTGCTAAAAACTTCTAATTATAAGAACAGGTGTGGAGAAATATCACCATTTATGTTAATAGTATTCAAATTCCTAGGTTTTATACCTGTTCCTAGGTTTTATTGGTATTTTTCAGGTATTTTTAGATGTTTTATATACATTTTACCAATCCAAGCACCATTTATATATTTTTTCTCCAAGTTTGCCTCTGCTACAATAAATTTAATATTTATACTTTATGTTAAATAGATATAAGACTGATTATAAAAAGCACTGAGGTATTAATATTCTGGACTAAAAGATCAGAATTAATTCATTAATTTGGAAGTCAACTGACCCATTGTTAGGAATACGCAGAGGTAACTGAGTTTTGTCCACTTTTCAATTGAAGGATGAGATTTATGGAGACTTGCTGATTTTTTTTCCGTAACAAATCAGTATTTTTCAACTACAAGCATTGTAATAAATGGTCCAACTATAATAGTTATAATAGCAACAACAAGGCCTGTCGGAATCCACATGGAAAATAAAAAAAGATTTTAAAAAATCGGAAAGATTAATGGGCATTCGTCTGGAACCAGCTAGCTTTTGTAGCGTGTTGTGATTATAGTTCGAACTTTGTTTTTCAGCCTGACATTCTTCACAGTCAACATGAAAGTGAAACAGGAGAAATTTCAGGAGATATAAAAGAAAAATCTACACCTCAAAACAGCAAGGATAGAGTCATCTGTGAGCTAAGAGCAGAGGTAAGGTATTGGATAAAGGGTGTGACATTATTAAATCACACTTGAAAATTACTAAATTATATACCATTTTAAATTGCACAAGTGAGGTTACTTAATGAGGGTGAGTGCTGCTTGTATAGTAATAAGCTTATATACTTTATGTAAGATTCTTTGGAATGATACTCCTAACTAGATGTGAGCTATCTAGCAATCCAATAGACAATGCAAGTCTTATTGTGAGTAAATATCTATTGAAAGTTCAATCATCTGATGGAACATAATGTTAACTTATTTTCAGAAACAATGACATACAAAATATGTGGCATGTGGATTCTGGTGACATTTCCAAAGCTATTAACAGCTAACAACACTGAAACATAGGATAAATTCACATTGGTTATAGCTAATTGATTTATTTTCCGTTCTGACTAGCAACTGCAACAGATAAATTTTCATGGATTTGTAAACTCAGAGTGTTTTTCCTGTCTTAGATACAAAGCAGGAATTATTGTTCTTGGACATAGGAGGAGGGGTTGAATTATTTATATTTCATTGAAAACTGCATTGCGTTAAAAATAGAAAATAGCAGATTATTTATTTTATATCGGGTGATTCTGGACAAATGCTTTGGATACAAATGTATAGGAACAAGTTAGGAAATGGAAAAGAAGTTGGTGAAAATATAGGCTTGGAGGAAGGTGATTTGTATGAGGCATTTCGTTTCCTAAAAAATTCTTCAAAGACAGAGCTCATGCTGGAGTGTATTTTATGTCAGATGAACCAAGTGCCTTGGGAAATGCATAGATTTGGGAGTCAGAAGCAGCAGAATCATCTTCTGATTATTTTTTTGAATTCCTTAGCCTCTCTGTGTCTGAGTTTACAGAGATGGGAGTGATAATAGTCACAGTCATTACATAGGGGCTTTAAAAAACTAAAATGTGCCTGGGGAAAACTTGGTGGAGAAGAGTTCTTGTACTTTGGTACTCAGCCCAGCTGTTCTGGAAAGTGGGGGCTTCAGGTCTTGCCTGCACTGCCCCTCCCTGCTGCTGGGATGTCCTTCACCCTTCCTCCTCAAGACGCCTGGCAGGTGTTGGGACCAGGAATATGCACCAACAGATCCAGATGAGAAGATGACTATTGAAAACAACCGCTTTCAGTCAAAGAAGAGAAGGATGGCTCTTGTGCCTTTTGTTTCTAAGAGGCATCCAATCCTCAGGAGAGCTGCCACTTTCCCTGGGCTCTGCACTCTAAACAGCACCTTTGATAAAGCACTGCTGGACATGCAGCTAACACCAGAAACAGAGGAGGGAGCCCTGTCAGACTGCTTCCTGTAGCTCTCCTCAAAACCAGGGGTGTGGGTGCATGCAAGCATGCGTGTGTAATGTTTTTAAAGAGCAGTTTTAGTTTCACTGCAAAATTTGGCAGGAAATAGAGTTTATATATTCACCCGTCTCTGTACAACATCTCTCAGGATTATGGTGCTCAGTAAAATCGATGAACCAACGTCGACGCATTATCAACTGAGTCCAGGGTTTGCATTAGGTTTCACTATGTGTTGTACATTCTGTAGGTTTTGGCAAATGTCTAATCCCAAGCATCTATCCTAAAACTCCTGTATGATCCACACCTTATCCCTCCCTCCCCTGAACCTTGATGACCACTGATCTTTTCTTTGTCTCCATACTTGCCTTTTCCAAAATATTGTGCGGTTAGAATCATACAGTGTGTTGTATTTTCCGATAGACTTCTTCAACAGAGCAATATGTATTGAAGGTTCATTGACATCCTTTTTTGGTGGCTTGATAGTTCATTTCTCTTTAGTGGTGAATAATATCACATTGTCTAGATATACCACGTTTTGTTTATCTCTTTTGAAAAATATCTCTATTGCTTTCCTATTTTTTCTACTATACATAAAGCTCCTATAAAATTTTTTTTTCTGCAAGTTTTCAAGTGGAAATAAGTTTCAACTCCTTTGGATTAATACCAAGGATGTCTATTGCTGAATCATATGGTAATTAGAGGTTCAGTTTTGTAAGAGACTGACAAACTGTCTTCTGAAGTGGCTGAAGCACTTTGCATTAGCTCCACATGGTCACCAGAATTTGATGCTTGGATTTTGGAAATTTTAGTGATTTTGCAGGGGCATGTCGTTGTGGTTATAGTCTAAAGTTTCCTAGTCATGTGGGATACTGATGTTTGTTCCTATGCCTGTTTGTTATCTTGTCATCATGGTGGGTTTTGTGTTCATATCTTTTGTCAACTCTTAAGTAAGCTTGTATATTTTCTAATGATTGGGCTTTAAGAGTTCTTTGTGTATTTTGTTTAACAGTGATCTGCCAGATCTGTGTTTTGCTAATATTTTCTCCTAAACATATAAAACTTCAAGAGTATGCATTAAAGAGGATAAAATGTAAATGAAATTTGCAATATTTTTTAAAAGTTAACAACTTTAGCCCAAAGAAGTTAATTATAATAAATCTTTTGAAAAATGATGTGATTATTTTAGGATGTTTATATCCAATTGTTTTATTTTAAACATTTCCATATCTAAGCATGTTTATTATAGAAATAATTGGAAAGTATAGAGAAGTAAAAAAGAAAAAACATATACATATTAATGTATTTGCTTATATACGTATAAATAGATATACTGTATATATAATTGTATATGGTTTCTTAAAATTATACTTTTTTATGTTCACGTAAAATTGTGTAATTATATCAATTTTACTTAAAATACAAACCATTTTTAAAACATGGGTTCTTGCTTTTAGATATACAATCAACACTGTAATAAGTAGCCTCATGCAAATACATACATTTAAAAATGGCTTAAATTCCTCGAAGTAGAATGGCTTGGTCAAGAGGATGTTTATTTTTGAAATCCTTTATACACACTGCCAAGTGCTCCATTAGAAACATTATATCAATTTACATTTTCACTAAGGATATCTAAAAACTCTATTATTCACAAAGCAAACATTAAAGACTCAGTAAAAGAGCAGAGGCTTTCCACCTAGGCAACCTGGGAAACAACTGGCAGTCTGGTGATCTCCTGGGGTTTTCCTTGGGCTGTATATACACCACAAAGATGCTAACCGTCTGGGAACACCAATAGGTAGAGACAGATGAAGAAACAAAAGCCATAATGAAAATGTAACCTAAGTCGGTTCGCTTTTGTCAAAGGACCAGGAAGATCAAGACAAAAGTTCGTGGACAGAAATGCTTGAATCCAACCAAACTCACGGAAGAAAAAAAAAAAAAAAAAAAGAGCCCCACCTCCACTCCTGCTAGAAGATGCCGAGAAGAGAGGACATCATTTCATCCTGGTCAGGTGGTAAGAAGTTCCCCAATCCTCCTTGGGAGGATTGCTATGGTTTAGATGAGGTGTCCTCCAAAATCTCATGTGGGAGACATGCTAGAATTTCCAGAGGTGAAGTGATGAGATTATGAGACACTTAACCTAATTTATGGAGTGGATTAATCCACTGAAATGGATTAATTGGTTGGTAACTATACGCAGGTAGGGTGTGTCTGGAGGAAGTAGGTCATTGGGAGTGTGCCTTTGGGGTCTCTATTTTGTCCTTGGGTAGAGGAGCTCTCTCTGCTTCCTGGCTGTCATGTTCTGAGGTGATCTCTTCTGTCACCCTCCTGCCATGATGTTCTGCCTTGCTTCAGACCCGGAGCTTTGGAGTCAGCTAACCATGGGATGAACCTCTGAAACCACGAGCCAAAGTAAACCTTTCCTCCTCGATGTTGTTCTTGTCCGGTTATTTGGTCATGGCCACAAAACAGGTAACTAAATTGGACTGTCATTGCTAGCTGGCAGTAACGAGGCCCCCAAGCTCTGGTGGTGTCCGAGGAAACCCCATGCAGAACTATCTGGATGAGGTCCAGCAGGCAGAAAAAAACTGCTGTCATGGCCCAGCAGTGAAAGGAGACTCTGAGTTGGGCCTCCGGGAGGCCAAGTGGCAAGTCAACCCTCATCTTCCAGGGGTTATCAGTAGGACCCTTCTGTAGGGTCCAGTTTTGTGACATAATACCCCACATATGCAGAACACAATGAATGTTACTCACTGAATGTTACAAATTGAATGTTACTCATCCCTTCTCAAATCAATCAATCAACAGATGCCACCCCTGAAATGGCAACAATGTTTAATTATTTGGCAAGAATTTTAGACAACACTCAGTAAGCAACTGGGAGTTAAATACATTTCTTAAAAAAAAAAAAACAGTAAGCCTTTTAGTAAATAAGTTGAAAGTTGCAGCAAATACATGGAAGACAATCAAAGAAACAGTGGAAAACTTAGGCGGAGAGAGCACACTGAAAAATTTTAAAATTAAGAATGGAGGAGTCAAAAGAGAATCAATGAACTTGAAGGCAGACTAGTAGAAATGATCCTGTCTGAACAACAGAAGGAAGTTGGCTACAAAAAAAAAAAAATTGCATCCTCAGGGACATGGGGAATATATAACAAAAAATCTGTTAATGTATCCGAGGTCATTATCAGAGAAGTAGCACTAGGCGGGAGAGTACTGAAAAGATGAGTGAAATTTAGGGAAAGGGTCAAAATTACAGCCCAGAAGCTCAGCAGACTCCAAGGAGCATAAATCCAAAGACACCCATCATCAAGCCACATGGTAGTCAAGCTCAAGGGAAGCTAGGGGAAATGTCTCGACCTCATCATGGCCAAGCCTTTTCCCACTGCAGGGACCAGCAGTCAGCAGGCATCGCAAGTCCCACCAGAAACCCTGGAGGTCAAGACAGAAGCAGCATGCCAGTGTTCAAGTGTAAAAGGACGGCCAACTGAACACGCACACAGTGCCTGAAGAAACGTTCTTGAGGACACCCGGAGAGCAAACGGAATGTGACTCTAGAGAAAATTCAGACAGAATGACCATGAGATGTAACTACAGAGTGGCTAAAATTAGAATAAAATAGCCACAGCCCTGCACACCAGTGAAGAAGCAAAGCCCCGGGCCACTCATCTATTGTTAGGGGAGCCTGAACTGAT